TGGTTAAGTATTCAAATCCATCATTTCTTCAAGATCTCCTAAATTTTTCATTGCCTTTTGAGGCTGCTTCTTCTCTTGTTAAGGATGTTACTGTTGATGAAATCAAAAATGCCATCTTTTGCCAAGGAAATGATAAGGCCCCGGGACCGGACGGTTTCAATCCTTACTTCTTTAAATTTTCATGGTCCATTGTAAGCGAAGATATCATTAAAGTAGTCAAATACTTCTTCTGTAATTCTCACATTCACCCTACTTTTATTTCCACTATTATTGCTTTGGTTCCTAAAGTCCTCAACCCCTGCATGGTTAAAGACTTCAGGTCGATTTCCTGCTGCTCCGTTATTTATAAAATTATCACTAAGATTCTCGTCAATAGAATGACTGCTTTCCTCCCACATATTGTTTCCTTGAACCAAACTACTTTCATTCATGGCAGAAACATCATTTAAAACTCCCTTCTTGCTCAGGAGATGGTTAAAGGGTATGGCAGAAAAGGTATTTCCCCTCGATGCTCAATGAATATCGACCTCCATAAGGCTTTCGATTCTTTTCACTGGAACTTCATCTCTTCAATTCTTATAGCCCTGAATTTTCCGCAAAGATTTATTACTTGGGTTGAAATTTGCTTTACTCAAGCTCGTTACTCTATCTCCTTCAATGGAACCTTAATCAGTTACTTCAAAAGGGCAAGAGGACTAAGACAGGGGGATCATCTTTCCCCCTACTTATTCGTTCTTGCAATGAATATCCTTTCTAAAATGCTAAATATGGCTGCTAATAAAGGTATATTTACTTTCTACCCCAAATACAAGAAGATTGGGCTTACTCATCTTTCTTTTGCAGACGATTTCCTCATTTCTGCAAAGGTAACAAGGAATCTGTGGCGGGTGTTCTAAGTGTTCTCGAAAAGTTTTATCAGCTTTCAGGGCTACAACTTAATCCCTCCAAATGTGAACTCTTTACTGCGGGTATCTCTTCTAGGGAGCTAGAGATCATTAAGCTTAATTCTGGCTTCAAATCTGGATCTCTTCCTGTCAAGTATCTCGACATCCCTCTTGTAACCCTCAAACTCACTACGAAAGATTGTGAACCTCTCCTTGACAATATTAGGAAACGGCTGCACCACTAGTCTACCCGTAATCTTAGTTATGCAGGCAGACTAGAATTAATATGGTATGTTTTGTTCAACGTTAGTAATTTCTGGTGCAAACAGCTTGCTCTCCCAGCTTCTATCTTAAAAACCGTGGACTAGTTTTGCTCACGGTACTTATGGAAAGGAGAAGACAAGCCTGCTGTCGGTGCTCGGGTAAGTTAGGATAACATTTTCCTTACGAAATCTGAAGGAGTCCTAGGTTTGATTAATATTTCCATTTGGAATAAAGCTTGTATTATCAGCCTTATTAAGAAAATACTTGCTGCTGATGGTTCCCTATGGATTTCATGGTTGAAAAAGTATATCCTTAAAGAGCAGGATTTCTGGCAATTCGAACCTGGATCTAATGTCAGTTGGGGTTTTAGACGGATTTTAAAGCTGAGGCATACTGTTTTTCCTCTTATTTCTACTGGTTCGCTACAGACAAAGGAAATATGGGATAGCATCCGATTACAAGGGCATAAAGTATCTTGGTATCGTCTCATTTGGTATCCAATGCATATACCAAAACACAGCCTAATCACTTGGATGGCCATTTTGAACAGGTTACCAACCAAAGATCGGTTACAGAAAATGGGAGTTTTCACTGATGGTCTCTGTGTTAACTGCAATTCACATCAAGAAACTAGAGACCATCTATTTTCTAACTATCCCATGGTTGTTCGTCTATGGAATTCTATCTTAAATCTGAACGGGATGAATCATAATTTTTCGACATGGGAAGGAATGATATCTCGTGCTTGCTTAACTTGGAAGGGGAAGTCATTACTCACCACCATTTTGAAGATTTCATGGAATGCGTTTATCTATTACCTATGGCAGGAACGTAATCAAATAACTTTTCAAGCTCGTTTTTGGGATGTTGATGCTATTCTTAAAGACATCATTGATATTGTTGGTATTCGACTTAGGGACAAAGCTATTAACAGACTAGATAATACTAACTCTAACCTCTGTAATGCTTGGGGTATAGTTTAACCAATCATTGATTTGTATTTAGGCTTTTGTTTCTTTTGTTGAATGGTTGATTGGTTGTAGCATGACTTTGCTATTTTGAGTAATAAAATTCTAAATTATCCAAAAATATATATAAGGTGCCCCTGGCCCATGTTTTTCATTAATGGTGGAACGAATTGCAGTCGTTCTTATGCGTAAAACGGTGAGGAAAAAACCTACTTTCTGAAAAGGCTAAACTACACAAATGATCATTAGTGTTTGTGTAATTTTTCGTTTTTCCTACTAAAGTTTTAAAAAGAACAAATTTGTCACTAACATTATTTATTTATAATAAATTGGCAACTCGCCATTAACAGTTGTTACTATAGTAACGAAATGCTGACGTAGTAAATTAAACAAGCTAACTTAGCGCGTTTGAACGAAACGGACTTAACACGTTCACCGTTTAGCTTTTTTTCTTCTTCATTAAATCCACTTTAAGCCAATCTAAAAATCCACCAGTCTCTCCTTCCACTGGAATAAACTGCAACATACAAAAAGCAAAGCAAAATCCAAAACAAATGGTTAATCCCTCTACTTTTCTCCTGACCATTTCCTTACTCTTCATTGGCACTGCAACTCATATCATCGTCGTGTCAGCCTTCGCTACAAGCGGCGTACACAGCTTGAGCTGGGTATTGACGAAGATGACGAACGAGTCCAGTAGTTATTCAACGGCCGAGTGCATGGCTAACAACATGGATGATGAGTTAGAGTTCAACAAGCGCATATTGCAAACGACGAACACACAATACACAAGCTACGAAACACTTCAGAGTGACACCATGTTGTGCTCTCATAGGGGAACATCATATTATAACTGCATATCGGGAGCGCAAGTTAACCCTTACAACTAAGGTTGGGGCGCCATTACTCGTTGTCGAGTTTAAAGGTTGTTCGTCGTTGTCTCATGTTTCTTCGTTTGTAAAATGAAAATAACAGTAGCAATAAATGGATAATCTTAGTTAAAGAGTATGGAACTTACCCTTCCATTGTAAGAGGTTGATTCAAGAGAATCAACAAGAGAAGTTCCAGTGTATAAGGAGTTAAATTCATTTTTTTTACTGCTCTAGGTGATATTATAATCATGACTGAAGACTTCAGAGAAGGATCTTTCAACAGCTTGGAGAGCCAAGCAATATTGCAATATGCAAGTCTTTTATTCAAGATCTTCCTTGAGAGGAATTTTTACACTTGGTAGTTTATTTGTTGTCATGCTCTTCTTGAATTAACACTAAAAGAATTATTCTGTTAAACTTTTTGTGTTTAATAATACTAAAAGAATGTTATTTGATTTTCTTCTAGTCGGGGTAATGCTATGGAATAAAAAGAGGAGTAATAAAACATTTTAAGTCAGTTGGTTTAACATGTCACGTCAACATTTTTTTACTGCAGTAACGATGGTTAATGAAAAGTGATTAATTTGTTATAAATTGATAATGTTTGTGACCAAATTTTTATTTTTGAAACTTAAGTGGAGAAAATAAGATTTTACTCAAACATTAGTGACCATTTTGTAGGTTACCCTTCTTAAAATGGCTAAAACCCTAAATTCGCTCTTTATAAACCTTTCTATTCTTCAGTTCTATCCCATCAGCATCTAAACCTTAAATGCCTAACTTTCGTTTAATTTTGTTTATTTTATTTTATTTTTGAAATGATTTTTTTGTTTGATAAAATAGTTGAAAAGAAGAATGATCGATGATGACAATTCCAAAGGATTGTTTCTCCAAGAACATTCGCGGTGGCCGCCTGAGAGCTTTCGCCTTTCGCCTTTCGCAGCGCTTGAGAGCTTCTGCTGTTTCACTCCTTCCTTGGATGTCTGAGACTCTTCTTCCATCTACTTTAACTTGCCTAATTTCCCCAAAATATTTATCAAAATCTGATGTTTTTGAACAGTTCGTTCCTGATTATATTTGTTTGTTGCTTTTGATAGTTGATTTTTTTGTTGCTGAAGTATTAATATGTGTCTTGGTATCTAAAAGAATTAGCTGATTCTTTAAGCATTGTATTGATCTTATTTCTGGATGATCTTTCTTTCAAGTTGTAAAAAGGTTCAATTTTTTTTTTTGGATTGGTTCGGTATTTTGAATATTGTTGAATTTACTTGCGTGAAGATGATGCCTGTTTCATTACTTGACATGGGTTAGTTTTCAACGATCACTATTGATCGAAGTGTTATAATAATTTAAATTTGATTGTTCTTTTAGTGCAAATTATAAGAACTGAGTGTAATCATACTCGCATGAGGTTAGCGAACTTTATTGAGAAGGTAAATAAGGTCAATGATGATAACTTGAAATGCTTGTTTCTCAAAAACATTCGCAGTGACCACCTAAGAGCTTTCGCCTTCGCCCGGCTTGAGAGCTTGTGCTGCTTCGTTACTTCCTTGGATGTCTGAGACCTTATAAGACTATCTTGTACTTTAAAGTGGTGCTATTTTATGTAGACTTTTGCTTAGTTACTCCATAAATTCAATTTTGTTTCACTTTTTTGCATGCTGTCATACTACCCTGTTTTCTTGGTACCTGTTAACATCATTAATTTTATGTGTTTTGATGGTTTTGTTGATGATGATAAATCCAATGGCTTGTTTCTCAAAAACATTCGCAATGGCCGCCTAAGAGCTTTTGCCTTCGTCTGGCTTGAGAGCTTGTGCTGCTTCATTTCTTCCTTGGATGTCTGAGACCTTATAAGACGTATCTTGTGTTTGAAAGTGCTGTTATTTTATTTAGGCTTTTGCTTAGTTACTCCATAAATTCAATTCTGTTACACTTTCTTGCATGCTGTCATACTACCCTGTATTCTTGGTACCTGTTAACATCATTAATTTTATGTCTTTTTATGGTTTTGTTGATGATGATAAATACCAAAGGCTTGTTTCTCAAAAACATTCGCAGTGGCCACCTAGGAGCTTTCACCTTCGCCTGGCTTGAGAGCTTGTGCTGCTTCATTTCTTCCTTGGATGTCTGAGACCTTATAAGACTCATCTTGTATTTGAAAGTACTGCTATTTTATTTAGGCTTTTGCTTAGTTACTCCATAAATTCAATTTTGTTACACTTTATTGCATGCTGTCATACTACCCTGTATTCTTGGTACCTGTTAACACCATTAATTTTATGTGTTTTGATGGTTTTGTTGATGATGATAAATCCAAAGGCTTGTTTCTCAAAAACATTCGCAGTGGCCACCTAATATATTTTGACTTCACCTGGCTTGAGAGCTTTTGCTGCTTCATTACTTCCTTGGATGTCTGAAAACACAGTTCTTGTTTCTAATTATTGGTTGTAAACTTTTTGTACTTCAACTCTTGAACCATGGTGATCCGATTCTAGTACTTGTCGTGTATTGTCTGTTTTGCTCTCCGTCTATGCAGCTGAAGGGCATTCTGAAGGGCACTGTGTAGGTTATCCCAGGCCAACTGGTGCCTATGCAACTGAATGTTCCTTTGCCATGAATCGTTGTCCATTTTGGCGAATTAACAATCCTTCCCAACTTTATTAACAACCAATGTGAAAATTCAAAGGAAAACATCTTTCAAAGGATTATTTTTGAGTCACCTATCTGACCAAAGGTCGATCATTTTGCCGTCACCAAGGGTAAACCAGATATTGTCTACAAAAGGGTTTAGGGGACTGTCAAGGGTTTTGCATTACTCCTCCATACCCAGGATAGATTTCAGGATCTAACATTAAAGTGTAATAAGTTCGTTGAAGAATGCTTGTACTTCGCAGTTCTAATTGATTTGACAATTTACATAGTCTTTAAGAGAGAGAGAACCATTCTTATGTTATCTTGTATGGAAATGTCTATAATACTTGGATGTAAGATGATGTCCGAACTATGTCAGCAAATTACTTTCTCAAATCTTTTTAAGGTTAAGTACATAAATGATCTCGGATTATAGGTGGTGTTTTGTTAAGTATTTCGATTATTATATGTTAGAAAATAGTTCTTTGATTAAGGGTGTTGTTTTGTTGAATCTTTTTACTATTAAAAGTTATAATCAAGATTAAATTTGTTCGTTTTTGTTAAAACAATTGTTGTTATTTGAGCTGGACATTAACTTGTTCGTTGAGATATGAGAACCGCTTGAGTTTTATTTTATGGGACGAGTTTTCATTTACATTATGTCATCGAGCTAATGCTTGAAATATTATGTCGTCAAGTCAGTGCTGGAAAACATCACTAAAATACAGTGTTTTGAAAATCAAACCGGACCGGCCGGTTCAATCTACATCGGTTGAATCGCTACTAGTGAACTGACCGAAACCGTTGAACCGTTCGAACCGGAACGACTGAAAATCGGAAAAAACCGCCAATTTTATTATTATTTAAAAAAAAAAATTAAACCAAACGACGTCGTTTATTAAACGAGCCAAGTCGAACTCGAGTATTGTTGAGCTCGACTCGAACTTGAAAACTTTAAAAGTAAGATTAACTCGACTCAAACTCACGAGCTAAAAATTATCAAGTTCAATTCAAACTCGAAATATAATATTGAAACTTGAACTCGAAAAAGCTTGAACTCAAAAAAAATTAGAAGCTCGATTGAAGCCTAAAATTCGAGCTTAATTGAAGTGAAAGAATAGTTAACTCAATGCTCACCAAAAGGCTCCATGATTTTGAATGTCAAATTACCTCTATTATTTATAGAGGTTAGTTGGGATGCTCTTTTATGTTTCTTAGCCATGTGGGATTGTTTTGTTCTCATATTTTCTCTTTAGACTTTTGGGGTGATCTTCTATGTTTCTTAGCCATGTGGGATTGTGTTTAAAAAAAAATTAAACCAAACAATATCATTTTGTTATGATTTTTTTAGCCCCAAATTTATTTTTTAATTATAGTTATATAATTATATTTATTATTTAATATGTTTTACCTTAAATATTATGTTGTAGTTAATTTGAATCATTTTGTTTCACTTGATTTTATGATTTTTAACTTATATATGTTATGACTAGCTTTGAATATGACTTGTGATATAAAAAATTATTTTTTATTAAATATTTTTGGTATTTTTATTTAATTTTTTAAATAATTATGACGTCGTCCGGTTCTTCCGACCGGTCGGACCGATTCAACCGACAGTGAACAGGTAGCATGGCCAGTTCGCTAACCTGTCCGGTTCTGAAAACCATGCTAAAATATGATTTTATTATTTTATTAGTCAACATGTTAACAAGTACGAATATGAAACATATGAATAGTCGAGTGATTTTTTTATAACTTTTAATAATATGGGGATTCAATGAAATAATATCTTATAATCAAATGATCATTTTATAACTTTTAATAGTCGAGAGACTCAACAAATCAATACCCTATCATAAAGGTACAATTTATATACTTTACCCATCTTTTATTCTTATTGTTCTTAATTTTATATCGGTATCTACTGATTTTATTTTTCTGACAAAAACTATACTTAATAATATTTTTTATTGTTTCTCTCGCTCTCTTCTTTCTCTTGATTTTAGTTGAGTATTTATCCATTTTTATTTTACTTGTTCTCTATCTATAGAAATAATTGTTGAATCTTAGAGGACATATATTTATATAAAATATACTTCAAAATATCATCCAGTACATGTCTCAAACAAATCAGATCCCCGCCTTGTACTCTCTCTTTTGTTAATTGCCTGCTTAATTCATCAACTTTGCGCCTCTTGCTGCCTGCTGTTGAACCTTTATATATCAGGAGAGAAAACAAAGCCTTGTTGTAGTTTGATATTCAGTTTAATGACTGAAACATGTAGGTATTTTACATGTACCATTAAACTCAAATACTAATACAATCCAAGGTTTCTCAATTCTCCATGGATGGTTTTTATTTACAAAAAAAGAAGAAGAAGAAAAACGTAAACCCTAGAGAATATGTGAATATATCTGGTTCTATATTGACAATGCTTGATTCTCATATGTAAACCATTTTTCCCTGTTTTATCCCTCCTACTATGCAGAAATGTATATACAAAGCCAGAAAAAAAGAGTTTAACTAGTGAGTATTTTTGTAATAGTATGAGTTGATTACCAGATAATATTTTTTTATAAGGTTTTTTTAATATATAAAAATAATTGTTCGAACTTAGAGAGAAATTTATAGTGAGTACTTGTTTTAATATACACAAGTTTAGTGATTAATTGTGGATTGGAGGCTTCCTTGTTGCTGGACTGTAGTCCATAGATACTAATTCATCAACCTTAATATTATCTTCTCCATGATCTTCTGTAGCGGTAAGCACTTGATCATTATGGAGTAGTTTCTGAGTTTCCTTAGCCACCGGCATATTTCTTGCTGAAAAATAATAGGAGTTCAGATTGACAGATTGGATCTCCATCTACCTATCAAACTAATACATACTATTAAACTACATAAAGCTATACAAATTTACTTAGAGATTCAAAACTTTACCTCTAGTTTGTCTGATTCGACCTCTGTTGGGTGTATAAAAACGGGCACCTGGTGGGGTGATGGACAATTTCATGAAGGGAAAAAGGCACGTGAAGTGAGCTCAAGTCATCTGCTGGAGGGGTCCTCCTTGTCCTCAAAATGAAAAACATAATTTATACGACTAATTAATGGCCTTGAAGAGGAGACGTTCATAATGCAGGTTTATCACCCGAAACACAACTAAAAATGCACCATGACTGACCTCCCTCAAGAATATGCTTCCGGGAACAACAGCACATGAACTTAGGTATATCATTCAGGCTTTTGTTGTTGTAATGAAAATATAAATAAAGAAATACTACAAGAAAGAAGAGTATGATATGGAGGGATTGACAACGACCTTCAAATCTTCGACAATGACTGTTTTTATATTTTAAAGATATCTTGAATTTTTTTAATATAATATTTAAATTAAATATATCATTATTCACCTATAAATAAAAAGATAATGTGTAATTAAATGTATTTAAATCCATGTCTTCCACAGCGATATCAGTTGAATTAATTAGTAAAACATTTTGAATCATTTTTAACGTATAATTTTTTATATAATCTCTATACATATTACTTAAATTTATTTTCATCCATAAATAAAAAGTATTGAATGTTTGATTATACACAATTTTAAGTAGTTTTTCACATGTGTATGTGGTTGACTTGAAAGGAAAAGAAAAGCTTTGTATTTCTTTGTGCACCCAAGCCAAAGCAAAAGGGTAAATATGTTCAGAGGAGGGAGACAATAGATATGTGAATGGGGCTACCTTGTGCTCCAAACCATATGACAATCACTAGTTGTTAGTATATGGAAGGATTGTGACCATGTCTGCCCTAGTGTAGCATCTGATAACTTGTGTAGCCTTATTGTGTGTGTGTATATATATAACATAATAATTCATGTTTGTAGTATTTTGTATTTATATAAATTTTTATATGATAATAGTTTGTTTTATATAAATTTATGACATACTTATACATACATACATATATATATATATATATATATATATGATATCCATAAATTATTACCCCATTTTATATTGGTCCTTAAACCTTAACATATTTTATATATGTTCAAAAATTATGATCCATTTTTAAATTAATCTCTAAACTTTAAAATATTATATATTATTTTTTAAACTATCAATATAATGTCGTTTCATTTTGATCTTTTCGTTAACGTTTCGTTAACTTTATTGATAAAAATTTAATGTGTTTTTGAAGGTCGTCAGAATTGAACATGTGACCTAAAAAATTCACACGACCTTCAAAAACAAATTATTTTTTTAATCATAGGTTCAATTCCTAAGACCTTCAAAAGTCGGTAAAATTAGCGACATGTTAATAGAATGATCAATATGATATGATATGATAGTTTGAGTTCTGACATAGAACGTTTTGAAGTTTAGACATCGATTTAGAATAAGGGTCATAGTTTGATGACTAATATAGAATGTTTTAAAGTTTATAGATCAATTTAAAATGAGAGTCATAGCTTGGAGACTTTTTGTGCAATTAACTCCAAACTTATCTTTGTTGTTTTTAATATTAGGGTAAAATATACAAAAGGTCACTAAATTATGTTGATCTATTTAATGATATAATTTCCTCTTAATATTATTAGATCTATTTATTTGATCAAATTGTTTCAAATCTGGAACCAAGGCAAGCTAGGGCCAGCACCTGCATTTTGATGAGGTGATGATGCGTATGAAATGGAACCTCATACAGCCGAGCCATCGGGGATGAGGGGCTGACAGCATGCCAAAGCAGGCAGGAATTGATTGATAAAAGATGACTTGAAAGGATCCTTTCCTTTCCTTTACAACAGGTGATTATGTTGCGGTCTGGCATGAGCCGAGCCGTGTGAACCAGCCATGTGGTGTCAAAACTTGATGGCAATCACACTACAATTATTTCACGTACTTCCTATTTGAGTAATCTCTATGGCCTGCAATACATAATAATTCTACATGTAATATTTCATATACATAGATCCCAATTCAATGAATTAAATTCTTCTGCAACTGCGCTTTAAGCTTTGTTTAAATCATGAACTGAAAGCCTATTAAGGATTATAATATCAGAAACCAGACAACTCAAAAAGAAGAAAACCAACACCAAATGTTTCATACATAAATGTTATTAATAACTGACTTGTTACAACAACTTCTTTCATTTTAGGACTAAACAATAAGACCAATAATGTTTTATTTATTTATAACCAAATGACAGAAGGAATAAATTAGTAACTCACATAGTCATATTACATTATATAATTTCACCTCAATAGAGAGATCACTGCCCCATCACCCATTCTCTTTATTCAACACCAAAAAGTTTAGATATCTTCTCAGGATCAAGTGTTCGGAAATCCAATGTAGACAGAGACCGGCGGTACTGAGGATTGCCGAGGTTGTTCTTCATGATATCGGTTATAGAAGCCTGTAAAAGAGTGAAATTCTGAATGTTCTGAGTAGCATTCGGATGAGCCTCGGTTCGTGCAGCTGCTTTCGGATTGGAACGTAGAAGTGGAGAAACCGATACTGGAAAGACGTCTTCTTTATGTTTTATCGGCTTCACTCGATATGAGCTGCTCGCACTCCCATTTCCTTTATGTTTATCCTGGTAAGATAAAAGAATTGATCGCTAATCAACTATTCATTTGGTCCTTTTATAAAACATAAAAGTGCAACTAACATTTATCTCCCTGGAAGTATCAGTATCATCTTTCTTTTGATCCGTTGTTGTTAGGTCCTTTGTCTCATGACCTTCATGTTTCTTTCCAGAAGTTTGCTTTGTTTTTGATGTTCTGTGCCTTCAATATGGAAAGCCACCACAATCAGTTAAAATCATAAGCAGAAATCTATAATACTTGAAAAGTTAACATACTTCTTTCGATCTTTGGCTTTATATGGCTCATCCTCCTCTTTGTATATCACTGGTAGATCTGAAAGGTTGCATGCCAAAGGAATTGAAGAAAAAAACTGCAAAAACAAAAGATGAAACGAAGCATTTGGTCATGATTAGGGTTTTTTTTTTGTATTTGTAGAGGGTGGTGCTGATTTTAGCTTACTTCACTTTGAAGAGCAGACGCTGCAGTGCCACGATAAGATGGGTCCAGATTAAGAAGCATTACGAGGAGCTCAAATGAAGAACTGGGGAAGTCTCCAAATGCTTCTTGATATCCAGGCTTGTAATGCTGCGGTGGGCGAAAGCTTGCTGGTAGCTTCATCTTCTTCCAGTAGTCCTCTGAGGGCGAACCACAGAGCTTAAAAATTCGATGAAGCTGCTCAACCTGATCACAAGCTTAACTTGTCACTGGCAAGACTATCATACTTTTACCATGTCTGCTACTTACATCCGAATCCGAACAACATACATTTTTAGTATCCAGTTGAGATAATGCATTGCTACAAAGCACTTATAGATGAATGAAAATTGCCCCTAACGAAATTTACTAGAATGATTACTTTAGCCCCTATTATTTTTTAGTCATGAGGTTTAAATTCTTGGTCAAAATGACTTATGTAGAATAGAAACCGTTAGTTGATTAATAGTCACCACATATTGTTGATATGATATTTTCATATATTCTTAATTATTAACGTGACACATGTCATATCATTATATTATGTGACATGTCATCAATTTAACACGTATAAAAATGTCACGTCATTAATATGGTGGATCATTAGTCAATTAATAATTTTTCATTCGGTATGAGTTATTTTGACAAAATAATTGAAACTTTGAAAATTAAAGTAATCGGAAAAGAAAAAATAGGAATTAAAATGTTCATTTAGACAAATTTTAGGGCTAATTTTAGTGTTATACCAATTTTTATTCTTTTAGAGGATGTTAAAAGTTTACATGCATTCATAAAAATAATCTATCCATTCATTGGTATTTAGACTCATATATATATATATATATATATACTTCATACTCCAAAGGCCATATTCTCTTAGTCTAAGTAGAAATAATGGGGAATGGTAAGGTGTACCTCAGTCCTCCCAGGCATAATAGGTCTTCCAGCAAACATCTCAGCTAAGAGGCAACCTGCACTCCAGAGATCAATCCCAACACCATAATCTGTGGATCCTAATAGCAACTCCGGAGCTCTATACCAAAGTGTTACGACCCGGCTCGTAAGGGGTTTCTTTGGTTTCGGGTTGAAAGTATTGGAAAGCCCGAAATCTGCAATTTTCAGCACCCCATTCCTATCTATCAACAGGTTTGAACCTTTAATGTCTCGGTGCAATATCCCTCTTTCATGACAGTGCGCCAGTCCTGAAAGCAGCTGTTGCATGTAACACTTGATCTGCATCATAATAAACACAAATACTTTGACTTGGTGTTTGGAGGATCCTTTGAGATAATATATGGTACTCGAGTATTGAATGATAGTACTTCTGGAAAAAATGATAAGTCGGAGCAACATAGATTCGAAGTTCAAACCTGAGGTTCGGTGAGCCGCTCGCCTGGCCGGGAGATAACTTTGGTTAAGTCTGACTGCATGAAATCAAAGACCAGATAAAGACTGTACTGCATCCTTGAAGTGGCTAATCCTTCAAGCCTGATAATATTTGGATGGTTCAGCTTCTGAAGTATCATAATCTCTCTTGCCATGAATTTAACGCTCTCAGGCTCTGCAGTGTTGAAACGGACCTTCTTCAACGCAACAATCTTTCCGGTGTCCTTGTCTCGAGCTTTGTACACATTGCTGTATGTTCCTTGCCCTACCTGCATAACCGGATCGAATAATTGTCGATTTAACATTCATTTTTATGGATATTCGAATACGAGCACTTTGATACCACATTTAATTGAAAATCAAATATCTCTAATCATCAAACTCATGGAATACTTTACCTTGGCAAGCTTATCATAGGAATCAGCACTCTTTGGAACCAAACCAGACAAAACCTCAAAATGAACATTATCAACAAGCCATTTAGGCCATCCATGAACAACCTGATCGTCGCCGCCACCAATTTTCCTCGACACATTTCGTTGCGGAACATTCCCATTAGCATCATTACTCCTCACGGTCTCCCCTTCCCTATCAACCACCTTCGGTCCATTTCCGGCCATCCCAGGGGCCAGACCGAGGTTCTTATCATCGCCTCCATCCTTCGTTCCTGACGAAAACTTCTGCAGTCCATCCCCTCTATTAACGTATCCATGTTCATGCTTGACCTCTTCGATTCGCCGAGACGGGGAGTACGTTGAAGTATACTTGCCTTGAACACATCCCATAACTACTGCTGCATCAATGGCCTCTCAGACGCCGATCGCGGGGACTCGATGCATGATCCGGTGATTGCTAAGTGGCAGAGTAATACACAAGAAAGTCTATTGGAATGTGAAAAAAAAACCAGAAAGGGAAGTGACTTAACTAGCCGACCTTGGTTTGGAATTTATTGTAGAAATAAAAAGAAAATGGGATGCCTTTGTTTTTGCAGAATTCAATTTGTTCTACTCCAGTTTCAATGCAACCGGGCTGTGTTAACAAGGAATGTCGATTTTCTTTTTCTTCTCAAAAGTTTGTTGTTTAATGAACCAACCAACTTTGGCGGGTAGAACAAATTATTTCATATTCTCCTTTTATAAATAAACAGGTAAACAGAAAACGATGAATTTTCAAATTCATTACTATCAAAATCATATCCAAAATCAATGGAGCATATAAAAGCCGGCAGATACAATCAAGAGAGATCGATATAATCAATTTCCACAATAAATTAATATTTAAATAAAAATTATGTTCACTCTAATATTTAAATCAACAGAGACTTAATGACATCTGGAACAGAAGAGAGAATCAGAGCTTACAATGCTGTAAGGACTGCAATTTCGATACCCATCAACTATCATGTTATTAAAATTTATTTGAATTCGGTAAACTAAATATGATTGTGTATAACAAAAAATTTTCATATCAATTACCAAAAGTTACGATCAGCAGCCAGATTAAGAATGGAGCGTATGATGTGTTGATGGACGGAGTCAAAATTAAATATTGGCAGAGGTTAAAATATTAGACTATTTAAAAGATTTATAAGGTATTTAAACTCAAAATTTAGTATGAATCAATTGAACTTAGTGATTAAGTGATTGTAGTTATCCTTGACGTCCCGAGTTCAAACACGTATGTAGGGGTATGAGCGTTAATTGTCAAATAGTTGAAAGTTTTTTTTTACAAATATTACATTGTATTCACCCTAAATTAAAAAAAAAACTCAAAACTCGAAAGACAACTTCTATTTTGTCTGATATTTAAACTTACAATGACTTAGATTGTAATTAGATAAAAAATTTGAGAACGAAGACTCATCATTCTTTAGTTCGACTCCTACTTGATTAAATATTTAATAATTTTTTATATTTTTTAAATTTAAATATTTATTTTTACATAAACCATAATACTATTAAATTAAAATTATATCGAATATATAAATTTTAATATGGGCCGGAGGACCGAAGGGAGCTCCGTCCGGCGCTCGTTTTTCGACTGGATTTGTAAACGCTTGAATCCGTTCGAATAGATAACGAGCAAGTCATACGTTCTATCCAATCCTGATTGTATTCAAAGGGGCCTTTATTTCTTAAAATGTCATTTAGGGCATGAATGGGCCTCAACTTCAGGGCCTGCCCATAGCTTTTGTATCCTTTTGAAACCGTAAACTGATGTAGCGCCATTTGCCTTCAAATTTTGAACTCTTTAGAGTTTTTCCCCGAAGATCCTAAAATTCCCGCCAATACTATTCATCACTTTCAGATTTCTCGATCTCTCTTTCTGTTCTATGCTGTTCTGATTCTATTCAGGTAAAACAGGAAGCTTTCCTTTTTTTTATTTTAATTGAATTAAGATTTTCAGTTAAATTTATTTGCAAATAACTTTAATTCCCTAGATTTTCTCTTCTTCTTCTTTTGATTTTCTATCCTTAAAATTCAACACCGTTACTATAGATCAATCCTTATGTAACTTAGAATTTTCAGATGACGTATACTTCCATTTTTGATGATTTAATTAGCACTTTGTTTCTTTGCAGTTAATCGCTAAAGTTCGTTATGCTTTAATATCTTTTATTGTATCCCTAATTTGAGAATTAGGGTTTGACTCGTTCGCAATTTAAATGAATCCGCTTTGGCGTTACTCCAACTTGCAATTCATGACTATATTGTTCCCCCCTCCCTCTCTCCCTCCCTCTGTTGTTAGTTCCAAAATGCTAGACTCTAAATGCTCCAATGAAACAGAAAGACGTAAAACTAAATACTCCGCGTTTAAAGCTGGAATTCACCTTCTTTTAACTTTTTGTTTTTTAAAGATTGAGAATTTGAAATGTTATGCACTGATTTTTAATTGAAGGCTATCGGGGGCAGACCTCAGAAGAAATGGAGTTTCAGATGAATTTTGATCATCTTTTTCCTTTTTAGGTGTGATGTTGGCAGATATTTTTGGTAAAGTACTTTCAGTTTAATATTTTTACAATTGGTTTGATTGATAGGAAGGCTTTTATCACATGGGAACTAGTAGAAAGAGAAGGATAAAAGCCTTGGAACCACATTCAGAAATTAATCCGCGTGATGGTTATAAGGGAGTTAATAAATCTAGAAAGACACTTGTGGAGAAGCAGCTTCAGGGAGCAACAGGCAGGACATTGGACTTGTTTTTTTCTTACTTGTCTTGCCTTACCAAGAAATTTATCTTTTTAAGTATAAATGTTGATGCGTTCATCAATTGGTGAGCCTGAATTGTTCTTTTAACTTTTGAGTTTTTAATCTTTTAATATAGAAAAATCAGACAAGGATGAGCAACCATCACCTTCTGGTTTGGTTGAAGCAGTATCTTCGAGGTCTAAAGCTACAAAAGCCAATTCCGTGAAAGAATTTACAACGCCACCTGCACTTGACCTGAATTCAGAAGAAAGACTTCATCCTTCCACTAAGATTAAGTTGCAGCTCTTCCCGATAGATGAAAGCACTCGTCTAGGACTAGAAAAGGTAAAACCCTAAACCTAAAATCACTTTTAGCTGTTTACAGAAGATCTATCTAGACTGAGGGTTGACTATTCTTTCCGCTAGGATGGGTTTCATCCATACTTGGAATTGACTTTAAGTACTAGAAAGAAGATATCCTCTGTGCTTAAGCACATTGATAGCAAGTGGGGCAGTTCAAGCATCGCTGTTGGGGAGCCCATGTTTTTCCCATATGTCGCAGAAAATCTGACCAGTTACCGATGGACAAGAAATGACATTTGTATCAGTGCCAGGGATGTCTATGAAACAATTGGAAGCCCATCTGTGTTTCGTTTAAGGTCCAATACCTGAATGCCTTTCTTAATCTTTATTTTTTGGTTTCTCATTTTACTCGCTATTTATGGTGGCTCCTAAAAGTATATTGATATGTTGTAACCGGCTTCTGCTTTGAAGATATGGGTGGGTGTCTGATCTTCAAACAAAAAACCTTGGGACAACCTTCTGTATCAACTCCTTTCAGAGCCTCTTCAGAACTTGAAGATGCACAGAAAAGTTGTAACACGTACATGGAGGATATATATATGGAAATGGTGAGAAAGCTAAGGTTTCTAGTGAAGAGTCTGGAAAACCAATCATTATGAGTGGAGAAACAAATGTAGCTGTTGCTGAGAAGATTTCTAATGGAGGAGTTGGTTCTACGGTACAGTGCCTATGACCAGTTTTCTGCTTATTAGCTCGCCTAGAGATTAATGCCTTTTCTATGTTAATTTTTTGTGAAACTGCATTGCCAGTAACCTGAATCAAACTTATAACCTCAATCAAGCATTTAATTAGGTTGTGAGTTGCTAAAAATTACAGGCATGGAAGATATATTAGATGGTTCTTTGAATATTGTCTATTATATTTACCCCTCTATTCTGATGGTGACAATTTTACTGGCTTATGAAAGTTAGCTTTGGGGTCACATTATGTTTGTTATCTGATTCTTGGCACAAAACTAAAACCTTTATGTCCAAAAGAGTGCTAGATTGCAGTAAGTTTCATGTCAAATAATTTTCCTTTCTGAAACTGCTTTTTCTTTCCCCATCTGTTAGGAAAATGAAGTGGCAATGGATAGCAGCATTGGGCAGTCATTGGCAATTTGGGCAGACAGTCTAACTAATATTAGCATAGGAGGCCTGCTGTCAGAAGCATCATTGCAGGGCAGGTTTGGTAATTGTGATCCAAAATCAAATGGGATCACTTCAGGGTCATCTCAGTTAATCTCTGATTCCTTTGATGCTTTCCTTGCTGGTCAAATGAATCCCTTTAAAAATCAAAGACCGCCAGTTCAGGACTTACATTCCTCAATTTTAGATGCTGATGATACATGCCATGCATTTCCATTCCAAAAGTTTTCTTCATTGGGTAAAAATGCTATAGCTTCTGGTGGAAGTGCTTATTCTCATGCCTGCAGTCAGGACACCAGTTCTAAGTCATTCAAGCACCCCCATCCAACAGAGGTTTGCTTTTATAATTTCCAGCTTCCATTATCACAATTCCAGAACTGTTTTACATATTTTCCTGTAGAATAGCTATCAAGCTTCTTTATTATATTTTGTTGCTAAAAGCTACCGAGTCTAGTGATTGAAGTTTTCTATTGCTGTTGGCAGTATTCTATCACATTGAGCAATTCTGCATTTTTGTTATTTTTACGTGGCATGTGATTTCAAACAGTAAAAAGTTCTTATGGAAAAGATTGTCATTTCTATCATGCTGTTTTTTATGTTTAAAACAACCATCAATTATATTAATTGGTCTTTAAGATCATCTGTGAGGCAGCAATTTCATATCAGCTATTTGATACATATAACATATTTGTTCCCTTGAAGCGCTTATATTTTATTAATTAGGATGTAAACTTTTAAGTTTGGTTATTGAGTTATGACATGCACAATACATTTCAAGAATTTATTTTCACAGGCCAATACTCAATTACAAGTCCAGGCTTGTCAACAGTCAGACACAGACTTGATACTTTGTTCGCGAGTATATAACAATGAAAGCAGTCTGGGGCTCTCAGATATTAAATGGGTACTTTATTCATTTCTTTCTCTAGACTCTGTCTAGGTATTCGAATTCTGTACGTGTTCAATATACATCTGGAGACAGGTATTCAGATATGATCTTCCTAATGCATGAAAATTATTAAGAAAATTGAAAACATTTGTGTTGAACACATTTGTAATACAACACTCAGCCATGTACGAGTAACATAGAATGATGCCATTTTTTAATGTATTTTATTATTTTTTATTTATTTATTAATTTTTTTAATGGAATGTGGATGCAGACGGAGTCTTTGGGACCCTTTGATCTGGGCTTGTCTTCTTCCGGCAAAGTTATAAGTGCAAGTGAGATTAGCATCGATGGCATTATCAAGTAGTAGGTTCCTGAACAAGATATAAATAAACAGGACACAGTTACACAGATTATATGGAGGGAAAAGGAGCAAAGGCAATGCCTTTAATTTATGGCATAAACGTTCTCGACTTGTCTTCTTTATAAATTGCTATCTTGTAAATTTGCTTTTGGTTGTGTATATGAAGGTCAGAAACACCATGGAAATAGGAAGCAAACAATATTGGTGATTAAATGTAAAGACGGAAAAACTTGTTCCGAATAAATCGTGTTTATTTCTGCTGAATATGGTTGACTTAAATAGAGTTTACAATGTAACAACTTTACATAAAAAGATGCATAAAATTAGCAACAGAATAAAAATGATTCTATCTAATTAAAAATGATCCTATTTAATAACTAATAGAATAAAAAACTGATTCTATCTAATTAAAAATGATCTATCTAATAACTAATAGAATAAAGACTGATTATATCTAATTAAAACTGATCCTATCTAATATTTAATTTAGATATTCTCGACACCCCCCTCAAAGCTGGAGAATAGATATCGATCATTCCCAGCTTGGACAGAAATCCTTCGAACATCGTAGTAAACAGTCCCTTGGTGAGAACATCGGCGAGCTGCTCTGATGATGGAACAAACAGTATGCAGATATCGCCATTTTCCAGCCTCTCTTTGATGAAATGTCAATCTATTTCGACATGTTTGGTCCTGTCATGCTGTACAGGATTCTGAGCAATACTGATTGCCGATTTGTTGTCGCAATACAACTTCATCGATTTATCTCATTCAACCTTCAGCTCCTCCAAGATCCTCCTAAGCCATAACAACTCACATACTCCTTGCGCCATGGCTCTGAACTCGGCCTCCGCACTGCTTCTAGAGGCAACTGGTTGCTTCTTGCTCCTCCAAGTAACTAAGTTGCCCCAGACAAAGGAGCAATAACCGGTAGTAAATCTTCTGTCTGTAGAACTTCCTCCCCAATCACCATCAGTGAAGATCTCCACTCTTCGACTTCCATTCTTCGAAAACATGATTCCTTTACCATGACTCCCTTTCAAGTAATGAAGAATCCGGTAAACAACCTTGGAGTGTTTTTATGAGGGACAATGCATAAACTGACTAACCAAGCTCACATCAAATGTAATATCTGGTCTCGTATGAGCCAAATAAATCAGTTTCCCCACCAGCTTCTGATACCGATTCTTGTCCACAGGCTCAACACCATCTTCTTTTTCGAGTTTTTGATTCGGATCAATAGGAGTCGCCACTGGTTTACATCCGTGTAATCCGGTCTCTTTCAAGATATCGAGGACATATTTCCTTTGCCAGATAATTATACCTTTTGAGGATCTAGCCACCTCCATTCCAAGGAAATATTTGAGTTGTCCTAGATCCTTGACTTCAAACTGGTTGGATAAGAAGTTCTTCAACGACTCCAACTGTACTGTGTCATCTCCTGTCATAACAATGTCATCTACATACACAATTAAAATAGCAATTTTACCATTATTGTGTTTGTAGAACATAGTATGATCAGACTGGGCCTGAGTGTAACCATGTTGTTTCACAGCTCTCGTGAATCTCTCGAACCAGGCTCTCGGAGATTGTTTCAATCCATAAATGGATTTCTTTAGCTTGCAGACCCTGCCATCCTTCTTCAATTCATAAAAGCCTGGAGGAACTTCTATAAACACCTCTTCCTCTAGCTCACCGTTTAGGAACACATTCTTCACATCAAACTGTCTGAGAGTCCAATCCAGATTGGCGGCTAGTGAGAGTAGGACACGTACGGTGTTTAGTTTGGCCACAGGTGTGAAGGTCTCCTCGTAGTCAAGGCCGTATGTCTGAGTGAAGCCTCGTGCTACGAGTCTTGCCTTGTATCTCTCGACCGAGCCATCTGCATGGTATTTGATGGTGAACACCCACTTGCTGCCTACAGATCGTTTTCCCTCAGGTAAAGGAGTTAGATCCCACGCGCCATTCTTCTTCAGGGCCTTTAACTCCTCAAAAACTGCCTCTCTCCATCTCGGAACTTCTAGAGCTTCATGTATCGACTTAGGTAGTGCATCATCAATAATCCTGGTGGAAAAAGCTTTGAAATCTGGAGAGAGTTTATTATAAGATAAGAAATTGGATATTGGATGTTTTGTGGTACATGATCTAACACCTTTGCGCAAGGCTATGGGTTCAAAGAATTCTGTAGAAGGCTCTAAATTTGGAGAAGAAATAGGAGAAAGAGAAGTCGTACCTTGGACCATAGTCGAGTCCGATGGTTGGCATACCTTGGGGGCCGGTGGTACATTACTTGGTCGAGTCATCCGTCTAGAATAAACACGAAGTTTAATAGGTGGTTCCAAGTTGGTTTCTACCTGAGTCTCACGAGGTTGTGAATTTATAGGTTGTGAAATCCTAGGATTAGTTACGGAAATATGAATTGGTTCCACTGAGCTATTTACAACCGATTTTGGCAAGGATGTTTGTTCCCAAAAACTCATTTCAGAGTCATTCTCCCCCGGAAGAGAGTTTTTATCAAAAAAAGGTTGTTTTTCAAAAAACGTGACATCCATACTCACATAATACTTCCCAGATTTAGGATCAAAGCATTTATACCCTTTTTGTGTCGGTTAAAAACCTAGAAATATGCATTTATGTGCTCGGGGATCGAGTTTTCCTCTATTTTGGCCGTGTATATGAACAAAAGCAATGCAACCAAAAATTTTAGGTGTTAAATCAGTGAAAGATCTATTTTCAGGAAACATATTCTTTAGAGCTTGCAAAGGAGTAATATAATTAAGAACTCTTGTAGGCATTCGATTTATCAAATAAGACGATGTTAAGAGTGCTTCATTCCAAAAACGATTAGGAACATTCATAGCAAACAGTAAAGCCCTAGTCACCTCTAATAAATGCCTATTTTTTCTTTCAGCAACTCCATTTTGTTGGGGAGTATCAACGCAAGAACTGTGATGAATAATTCCTTTTTGTTTCAAAAAATCACCTAAGATTGCATTAAAATATTCTCGACCATTATCGATTATAAGAACTTGAATATTTGCTTGAAACTGAGTATTGATCAGTGAGTGAAAATTTTTGAAAACACTTGCTGCCTCGGATTTTTCTTTTAGTAAATAAATCCACGTGACTCTAGTGTGATCATCAATGAATGTGATGAACCATCTAGATCCTGAGGCTATTTTTACTCGTGAAGGGCCCCAAATATCAATATGCACAAGAGAAAAAGGTTTTGATGGCATATACTTTAAAGATGGATAAACAGATCTATGATGTTTTGCCAATTCACAAGCTTCACACTGAAAAGAAAAACCATATTTTTTTTGAAAAGATTTGGAAACAAATATTTCAAGTAATTAAAACTAGGATGGCCTAATCTATAATGCCACAACATTATTTCATTCTCACAAGACAAGGTAGTAAAGCATCTCAGTTTCTGAACTTGTTTATCTGAAGAATTGTCCGTGACCAAGTGATAGAGTCCATCAACCTCCTTAGCATTGCCAATCATCTTCCCCGAACAAGGGTCCTGAAATTCAAATCCAGCAAATGTTATTGTAGCAATGCATTTGCAATCATGAATAATACGATTAACAGAGATGAGATTGCAAGAGAGCTTTGGGACATGTAGGACATTTAGTAATGTGAGAGATGGAGAAATAATGATAGAGCCTTTTCCAGCTATAGAGGTTAGGGAGCCGTCAGTAATTTTTACCTTCAGATTACCAGATAAAGGAAAATAAGATGAGAATATGGAGGAATTACCGGTCATGTGATCTGTTGCCCCTGAATCTATGATCCAAGGGTTTGATTTAGAACCGGCTATGAAAGCTGTAGGATATGTACCTTTCTGGGCTAATGATGAAGAGGCAATATAAGATGATGGGTTAGGAGTGTTGGATATGGAATGAGAACTCATTAGTTGATACAATTGCTCTAGCTATTCTTTGCTGAAGGCAGACAGTTCTGAGGCAGGTTTCGGCTCTTCAGAAGCATCTTTAGATGAGGCATGGAATCCCTTTGCATTACGAGAAGTTCGATTGGCTGAAAAATTCTTGGCTGGCTTCCCGTGTAGCTTCCAACACTTGGCTTTAGTGTGTCCCGGCTTGTTGCAGTGCTCACAGATTGACCGATCTCTATCGTTTCGACGATCGTTGCGACGTGGTGGCTTACCCGAGAACAAGGCAGAAGACTCAGTGAGATTTGGTGAGTGGCCTCCAAGCATGACTGTCCGCCGGCTCTCCTCTCGTCTGACTTCGGAGAAGACTTCTCTTGTGCTTGGTAGTGGTTCACGACCAAGAATGCGCCCTCTGACTTCATCCAATTCCTTGTTAAGGCCGACAAGGAATTCGAAGACCCGTTCTTTTTCCACCATCTTCTGGAATAGAGCCCTGTCCTTAGCACAACTCCATTCGTAGTCGCTGAACATGTCAACCTCTTGCCACAAGGTCTTGAGTTCAGTGTAGTATTGAGTGACAGTTTTTTCTCCTTGTTTTAGCCTCCATAACCGAGTTTTTAGTTCAAACCATTGTCCTGCGTTCCCGAGATCAGAATAGGTCTCGTTCACAGCATTCCAAATGTCATGAGCAGTAGGTAGGAAGAGATAAGTTCTCTCTACACTCGGATCCATGGAGTTTATGAGCCAAGACATAATCATCGAGTTTTCTGCCTCCCATCTTTCAGATTCTTCATCTTCTTCGGCAGGTTTCGTAGTGGTACCTGAGAAATAGTCGAATTTTCCACGGCCACGAATAAACAGTTTCACAGATTGTGACCACTTTAAGAAATTATTTCCATTCAACTTGTGAGAAGTGATGGATATGTTTTGGAAGGATTCAGTGTTTAGGGTGATTGAAGGTGAGCGAGTAGAACTCATAGAGTCGATACCAGAGGTATCATCGTAGGGTTTGGCCATTTTGGCTCTGATACCATAAAGACGGAAAAACTTGTTCCGAATAAATCGTGTTTATTTCTGCTGAATATGACTGACTTAAATAGAGTTTACAATGTAACAACTTTACATAAAAAGATGCATAAAATTAGCAACAGAATAAAAATGATTCTATCTAATTAAAAATGATCTTATCTAATAACTAATAGAATAAAAAACTGATTCTATCTAATTAAAAATGATCCTATCTAATAACTAATAGAATAAAGACTGATTCTATCTAATTAAAACTGATCATACCTAATATTTAATTTAGATATTCTCGACAAAATGAAATTGATTAAATTAAGTTCATATTAGGGGTGAGCAAAACTCGACTCGATCGAATTGATTTCGAGTTGTAATTTCATAAACTCGACTAAAAAAAAATTCAAATTCAAGTTGAGTTATAAAATGCAACTTGAATAGTAACACGAATAATTCAAAATTTTTAGTAATTAGCGGATTGGTGTGCAAGTTTTAGTTGAATTTCACGACTCTGTATAATATATATATATATATATATATATATATATATATATATATATATATATATATATATATAGCATGAAAAAATATGAATAAATAAATATGTATTGTACATAGTTATAAAAAATCGTTTAAATTGGAAGCAAACAATATCATGATATTATAAATATTTAGAATTAAAACTAAATAGAAACTCAAAAAAAAATTCAAATCAAATTTGAGTTATAAAATAGGACTTGTTAACTCGATGAACTTAAAAAAAATTACTTGATTTGAGTTAATCGAATGTTCATCTTTAATTCATATTGTTTAATATGTTATTGAGTTGACAATAGATGGAGATATGTTCTGATAAATTCCTTCTTCATTCTAAAATTAATATTTTAACCTTTCCTTTTATTTTTGCAGCATATGTATATACTATTCATGCACTTTATAAATTGCATGTAGTGTGTGTATATATATTAAACATAATGTTCATAAATAGATGATAATTTTTACAGCATTAAGTGAAAAATCATTAAAATATAATTTCAGATGTAACGGTGTGAAATAGTGTAAAATTCAATTTAAAATAAGTAAGTTTTATCTTTCTGATCATGACCCTCTGTCTAAATTAGAATTCCATATCATACAAACTTATATATTTGAATCCGAAACTTTAAGAAAAAATTACATTCTCTCAATAATGAGATTATTCTATAAGTTCGAACTTAATCCTAATTTATCATTATTTATAAATTAATATATAATTATTGTACCGTTCAAACAGGATTAGTTCGGTATCCGTGTTTATTGTTTAAGTACGGTACCAGATCGTCCTAGTTCAAAATACTAAAAACGATTCCACAAGCAACAATATACATATGTTTGTGTATTTAGTCATACAGATGAGGAAGATGAGGTGTGAAAACGACAGCAAGTGGCGTAGCTTTAAGATTAATCAAATCGATACCCTCGTGCATGTCAACCGGCTCATCAAGCGGCATAGTAGTTTATTCATAGAGATGAGGAGGAAGACGAGGTGTGAAAACAACATTAAGTGGCGCAGCTTTGAGATTTGTCAAACCGGCACCCTCACGGATGTCAACCGGCTCATCATCCGGCGTCGTAATTTCAAACGATTGCAGCAGAACAGCAAGGTTGAGATTTAAAATTTGAAGCGCAGATGATATTCCAGGGCAAACTTTTCGACCGCTACCGAATGGAATAAACTCAAAGTTTTGTCCCCTGACATTGATATGCTTATGCGTCGTAAGAAACCTTTCAGGTCGAAACTATTCAGGATCGGACCATATTTTAAGATCTTGTTGAAGCTTTGAAATGTTTACAAGGAGTGTGCCTGCCGGAATAAAGTAGCCGACCATGGTGCGGTCTTCAACGGATTCATGCGGCACGGAGAGGGGCGAGGCGGGGTATAATCAGGTTGTTTCTTTGATAATGGCTTGGAGATAGAGTAGATTCTCCATGTCGGATTCTTGCACCAGCCTGTCTTTACCGACGAAAGTGTCCAATTCATGTTGGGCTTTTCTCAAGACATCCCGATGGTTTAATGGTAACGACAGGGTCCAAGTTATCGTCACTGTTGTGGTGTCCGTTTCACCTAAAATTATTGTCCGTAAAAGCACCAATATCCCAATATTAGCTTTTAGGGTAGACTGCAAGTTTAGCACTTAATTATTAATTTTACTTCTATTTATTTTAAAATCATTTTTAACGTGCAGTTTAGATATTAAAATAAAATAAAATTGATAGTTTTGATATTAAACGTGTCGTTTATCCTAAATTTTATTACATACATACTATATAATGAAAAATATTTACGTAAAATAAATATTTATAAAAATCTAGCGAGTAAATAAAAGGGTAAAGTATGCTAATGATTTCTCGATTATAGAGTTATTTTGTTGAGTATCTCACAAAATAACCCTCAACTACAAGGAGTTACTTTGTTGAGTCCCTCAACTATCAAAAGTTACAAAATAGTCATTTGACTACTCATATATTTTAAATGCGCCCTTATCCGTTATAAAATTGATGGTCATCTAAATTAAACGTTAACATGTTGTTTGGGATATGATAAAATTATATTTTAATGTCTACTAACATTATCGTTGCTTTCAAGCATTGGTTGGATAACATAATGTTTCAAGCACTAACTCAACGACATAAATGTAAAGAGATATTTAATCCACAAAATACAATTCAAATAACTATGTGATTAGATTTTATCATATCTAAGTGAGCAAGTTAACGTTCGACTTAGACGAGCACTAATTTTTTAACGAAAAAGGATGAATTTGAAACATATGAGTAGTCAATGACTATTTTATAATTTTTAATAATAGAAGGCTCAACAAAAATAGCACCCCATAAATTGAATCATTTTGTAATTTTTAATAATAAAGTGACTCAACAAAATAACATCTTGTAGTTGGAGGATCATTTGTATATTTTACCCTACATAAAATGACAAATAATATTTACACAAAACAATCGTTATGTACAAACTGCAAACATAATTATTTAAACTCAAGATCCTTAAAAAATAATATTTTTTTTACTTTTGAGGTGGCTCAATAAATTTATTATTCTTCATTACTTATGATATTAAAAAGTATTTTTTTACTCTAAAAGTAGTATTTTAACTGTAATGAAAAATAATTTCTTCAATGACTTTATATTATTCGACTTGTGTGTTGTGTCAAACTAGACATGCCTAAAGCGTAAGGTAACTTGCCCGGCTCCACATATCTAAAACTGGGATAAGGAATGATGCATGTTTTTTCATCTCGAGTAAATATAAATGTAAATTAAATAATGAAAACGTTTATTATTTAAATCTAATTATAAACCAATAAATATTAACATAAAATTATAACGTTAATACATAGATAAGGTGAAAAATTAAGGAAATATTATTGGTGAAAAATTAGAAATATACATCTGATAAAAAATATTTAAAATTTATGATATTTATTATAATAAATTAAAAATTCGTACTGTAATAAATATTATAAATATTTAAATAAATTTTCACCAACTATATACCTTAAAATAATTTTAACTCGAGCATTATTTTACCATATATGTCGGACAAAAATGTACTACTCTGGTTGCGTGTGTAGCAAAACTCTTACAGCTCGTATATTTATCGGATGTACGCAACAATAACACTTACAATATTAATTTGTACCCTTCTTTGTATAATTGAATAAAACCAATTCAGTCAAATACATGAACTATTATTGTCTCTCTATATAAAAACAAATGTACATTTTTATATTATACCACTTGTCATGCCCTCAAAACCTTCAAGCTCAAACTATCGGAATATGAGTTAAGGTCTAAAGAGACGTGTGACCTTAGACGCTTCTTGAAACTTCTAAGTCCTCTTTGCGACTAAGTAAGCCTTATCCAAGGTTAATGAGCATGCAAACTCACCAAGGTTGGAACCAAACCCTCAATATTTCTAGGATGCGGAAGCTTTAATACTAACGTGACCACTCCAAGCCACCAAGGTTGGACTATGGTGTGGAAATACAAACACAAGTGTGGTTACTCTTAGCCACCAAGAGAGGAAACAACACAAAGAAACTTAGGAACAAAGCACACAAGAGATAGAGTAAACACCTCAAAGTTTTATTACTATCCAAAGAGAATGAATGGAATGGATGAATACAAATGAGGATGAGAGATTCTCTATTTATAGTTGAGCTCCCTCTCAATCAATGGCCTAGATCGATTTACATCAACGGCTAAGATCTGCCCAATTAATTACAAATCCCTTGAATTAAAGAAACTCAACTCAATCATATATAATTACATTAATTATTAAGATTCTTTCTTTGTATATGTGTTCACACCAGATATGGTAAGATTCCCTACAATATCTTCCTGATTTGTTGTCTCTTGCCATATTTACCAAACTCATGTGATCATCTTCGAATTTTATGTCACTTTCCTTTTCTGCACAGTCAATGTGAACGGGCTCCACAACATTCTCCAAGTGATGAGCCAAGACTGGTGGCTGTAAATCCATACTCTACATAAAACCTCTTTAGCAAACACTTGCACCAATGTCTTGGACCCAAAGATCACGGCCCATGACATTCTCCCCCACTGAACTTAACGATGCCCTCATCGCTCCACTCGACGATCCTAGGCAACATCACCTTGGATAATTCTCAATGTCTTGTCTTGTTGCGATCCTCCCATATGAATTGCTTGCCTTGGCTTCTGCCGCATGTAACTTCACGAACCCTCGCACCATAATTCACATCAACTTAGTTGCCTTTCGACGTCTCCACTTACTCACGTCCCCCATAAGGACTCGACCTCCCACAAAGACTTTGTTTACTTCGACTGTTGCCGTTAAGTGATGAAATGGACTAACACGCTCATAAGTACATCTCTATCGTAAGAACCATTTCCCACAAGTCTTGATTTGTCTCGTCTTGGACACTCCTATCCCTGCGATAAAATCTTGGATCTCTCCAAACTTTGTTTCCTCCACGCTAAATGTTAAGCCTTACTCGACCTACGCTCACTAAAGAAAGCAAATCAAACGCAAAGGAACACTAGAAGAATGGATTTTATTTTGATGATTTACATTACAAAATTTAAAAATAATTAAATTGTATAAAATTTTAAGAACGGTCATCTAATTTTTGATGATTTACATTATTGGTTTTTCTATTTAATATCTTTTAAATAAAATTAATTCCTAACGTTTTTTAATCTTTATTTTATAATGTTGGAAGTTAAAAGATATTTTAAAAGAATAAGGAGAGTATTTTTTTAAAATTATTTCGATTAGATTTCAGAGTGGATATAGTGTACAGATATATGGTGAGAAAGGTGGAACTAACCTGACAGGTAGCTTTGTTGATTGTATCAGCGTCGTAAGAAGGGAGTTTTCCGGCATCTTCAAGAAACGACAACATTATATCCATGAAGTCATCATGTTCGCCGCCGGTTTGCCTGAATTTCTTTTCCGTTTATGTTCCACCAAACATTCCTCAAGAATTTGGTCCAGTTTCTTTGCCGTCTTCTTCATGGCTTTCTCATGTCCACCCAAATCCAACCACCGCAAGAACGGCAGCGAGTCCGCCACTGTGAACGTCCCCCCCCCAATCCGAAGAAATCCCTCACCGCTTTCCTACGCTCCTCGTTCTCCTCTTCCCCATGTGAATTTTCAACCTCCGAGTATCTCTTCCAGATAACAATCTTCAAAACCGTGTTTATGTTAATAATCCAGAACCATCTCTTCATCTCCACGACCACCGGTTTCGAACCACCGTTGATTACTAACACGTAAAGTCGATTGATTGATTCCTTGGCTTCCGATTCTCGTACGTGTTTGAGCTTCTCCAATCGGCTGTTCGACAGTAACTCGAGCGTCGCTATCTTGCGAATGTGACGCCAGTAAGGGCCGTAAGGGCTGAACCCAAACATGGCGAAGTTGAAACCCAAAAGCTCCGCCGCTAAAGTTCTCGGAAGACTGGCGAAGGCCATATCGCTGGTAGTGAAACACTCTTTAGCGACTTCCGAATTGCTTACAATTAGTGTTTGGGTGGGGTCCTTATTCGTCGGCCAAGTTACCCAACGTGATGTTCGCTGGCTTTGGACCCCCTAACAGGTGGAGGGGGCCGAGAAACGTGTAAAAAAACCCGTGTGGAAAAAATATCTCTATTCTTATTATTATTCATTGTTTCAGTATACTATATTTATATACAATTCATTTACATCAGCTAACATACTAATTGACTTTTAACCGTAACTAATTAACAAACTTGTTAACTAACTCTCAATTTCACAACACTCCCCCTTAAGTTGGTAGTCTAAAGACATCTTTGACTCCCAACTTGAAAATTAAATACTCATGTTGTTGAGCTCCCAAGGCTTTGGTTAAAACATCTACTAATTGATTTGCTGATGAAGCATAAGTTGTGTTGATCACTCCTTGTATTTTTTTTCGGATGAAATGACAATCTATTTTTATATGCTTTGTCCTCTCATGGAAGACTGGGTTTGCTGCTATTTGCAGTGCTGCCTTGCTATCACAGTAAAGTCTGGCTGGTTGGACATCCTTTACACCCAACTTTATTAACAGACCTCTTAGCCACACAATTTCAGCTGCCACCATTGCCATGCTTCTGTACTCTGCCTCTGCTGATGATTTTGCTATAGTATTTTGCTTTTTCGACTTCCAAGAAATTAAAGAATCTCCTAATTTAACACAGAAACCAGTAACTGATCTCCTTGTCATCAAACAAGTTGCCCAGTCAGCATCACAAAAAGCTGTTAGCTGATATTGTCCTGCAGAAGACAACAAAATTCCTTGACCAGGATTCTTTTTAATATACTTAACCACTCGAAGAGCAGCTTCCAAGTGTGATCTTTTTGGTTGCTGCATAAATTGACTCAAGTGATGTACCACAAAGGTAATATATGGTCTTATATGAGTGAGATAAATCAACCTTCCAATCAATCTCTGGAAAACTTCTTTATCACCCTGCAGCACTTCATCATCTAAATTCTCTTTACCATTTTCAACCAAACCATAATCATAACCAGTAGAAGTAAGCTTTACATTCTGCTCCATAGGAGTGCAAACTGGTTTAGCACCTCCTAATCCTGTTTATTCTATTAACTCTAGTGCATACTTCCTTTGGTTCAACAAAATTCCTTCACTATATCTAAGTATCTCAAAGCCAAGAAAATACTTAAGTTCCCCTAGATCCTTCATTCTAAAACTAGCATGCAAGATTGCTTTCAACTCTTCTATCATGGCAGCATTATTTCCAGTAATCAATATATCATCAACATATATAAGCATGACCACTATATTTGTTCATTCTCTCTTTGTAAAAAGTGAGTAACAAACTTACTTTGAATATATCCAGCAGTAACCAAGGCTTCAGTCAAACTCATGTTCCACTGTCTAGACGCTTGCTTAAGCCATAAATAGACTTATGCAGCCTATACACCATGTTCTCCCCCTGGCTGTAGAATCCTTGAGGAAACTGCATATAGACCTCCTCAAGCAAATTGCCTTGAAGAAACGCATTATGTACATCCATTTGAAACAAGGGCCAACATTGCAAAGAGGTAAGTGCCAAAACTGTTTGTACCGTGACAAGCTTAGCAACATGCGAGAAGGTTTCAACAAAATCCACACTTTCTCGTTGATTGTACCCCTTCGCAACCAAATGTGCCTCGTAGAGTTCAATCTCACCATTGGACCAAAACTTGACCTTATACACCCACTTGCATCCAATGGGAACCTTACCCGGTGACAAAGGAACTACAGACCAAGTATTGTTTAACTCTAATGCTTGAATCTCCTCTTGCATGGCAGTAACCCACAAAGGATCTTTAATGGCATCACTATAACTAGTAGGCTCAATAATATAAGTGGAAGAAAGGAAAGATTGAGTGGAGAATGGAAGATGAGAATAAGAAATGTGATCTGAAATGGGATAATTGCTAGAAGTGGATGATTGACAAGAAACATACTCATTTAACCACAATGGAGGCTTGGACACTCTAGAAGACCTCCTAACAACTGGATCAATAGGAACATTAGAAGAATGAGAAGTAAAAGATGTAGGAGACACCTAATCACCAACACTAGAACTAGATTGAGACTGCTGAGAAGACAAATTGGAAGGATTATTATGAGCTGAAGGCACATCTGTTATAGACAAGTCAGTGATAAAAAACTCTGAATCAAGTATAACAGGTTGAGAAGGAAATAACCTAGATGACAATTCAGGTGAATGAAAATGAAAAGAATCCTCATGAAACTTAACATCCCTACTATTAGGTATGGCTCATAAATGTACCAGGTTTTTTTTATTATAAATAGAGATGTAACCTAAACCTATGAGACATTGAATAAAACTTCTAGCGCCGCCTAGGCGCTGAGAACGTAATCATATTGTCGAACCTCGTTAAAATTCTTGTGTTCTTTCATTATCTTTGCCTGATTCTTCAATACCTACTAACAAAAAAAGTCTTAGAAACAAGACTGAACATCAAATAACCCTTTTGAGTATCCGAGTATCCTATAAAAACCGAAGGAATAGCTCTAGGGAAAAATTTATCACGAGGCTTAGTGACAGTAGCATAACCCAAGCAACCAAAGACCTTTAAATGTAACAAAGAAGAAAGCTTACGATGAAACATTTCATATGGAGATTTCCAATTAAGAACAGCAGAAGGAAACCTATTAATTAAGTAACAAGCAGCTAAGACACACTCTCCCCAAAACTTAACAGACACCAAAGACTAAAAACAAAGTGCACGAGCTACTTCTAATAAATGTTTATGCTTCCTTTCAGTTACCCCATTTTGGTGAGGAATATCAACACAAGAGGACTGATGAACAATACCAAAAGAAGAGTAAAGAGAATAACAACCTTTGCTGAAAAATTCAGACCCATTATCACTACGAACGATTTTTATAGAAGCCTCAAATTGACTATGAACCAAAGAAAAAAACTTCTTTAAAGAGACAATGGCATCTGACTTTAGTTTCAGTAAATATACCCATGTCATTCTTGTACAATCATCAACAATTGTCAGAAAAAACCTATGGCCACTATGAGTAGAAATTTTGTATGGACCCCATAAGTCCATATGAATCAGATGAAAAGAGAGACTAGACCGAGACTGACTAATTGTGAAAGGCAACCGAACTTGTTTGGCTAACGGACAAACCGAGCAAGAATAAATTACAGAGGAATCCAATTTACAGTCATTCAATGACATATGCTGCAATTTGAGAAAAGAAGCATGACCTAATTGAGCATGCCAAATGGAAGTTTAATTAGTAACAGATGACATACAATGAGTTTTAACATTGAAAGGTACCTTAGAAGCAATACTAAGAAAATAACCAAAAGAATGAAGAATGTACAAGCCCCCTTGTTTCTTACCAATCCCCAGCATCTTGTCATTGAAGAGATCCTGAAAGACACAAAAATCAGGATAAAACTGAACATCACAATTTAAGTCAATTGTCAGTTTGGAAACATATAACAAATTGTGAGTGAAGGAAGTGACAAATGGTACATTTTGTAAACAATGAGAGGAATTAAACCAATAGGAACCAATATGTGTTATAGCCCGGGTTTTACCATTCGGGAGATGAACAAATCGTGAGGTACATGCAACAGGATTACTCAAGCATTCAAAACTAGACAACATATGGTTAGTAGCTCCAGTGTCAAGAATCCAAGTAATTGAATTACGTTTAGAAGCATGTAAACCACTATGAATCATACCTGCAAAGTTGGCAGTAGCAACATCACCAGAATCATGAACATCCTTGTTGAGGAGCTCCAGCAGACGGTTATACTGGTCCGTGGTAAACATCGGCGCCAAAGGATCAGTCAAAGGGGAAGACTCAGAATGAGTATCATTCTGATCAGAGTTAGCCACCATGGAAGAAGAAGACTTCTTTGCCTTTGTGAACTTGAACTCAGGAGGGAAGCCATTGAGCCTATAACACTGCTCACATTTATGGCCATAAATTTTACAAAAATCACAGACTCCATTAAACCTGCCACGAAGAGGATTAGAAGAATTGGAGTACATCACTGTCGCATCAGAAAGACGTGAAACGCTTGAAGGCAGATATCTCTGTGACTCATCCTGAACCACTATCGAATACGCCCAATTAAACAAATGGAGCGGATCTAGAAGAAGAATTTGGTTCCGAATCGCAGAATATATCTCATTCAGTTCCATTAAAAACTGAAATAATCGTTGTTGAAGAACATGATTCAAGGCTTGCGAAGAATCAATGCAATTACAGGAAGATACAAGAATCAATGCACTGTACTCATCCCAAAGTAACTTCAAGCGTGAATAATAGGTGGAAACGGATGAATCACATTGAGTAAAGAGAGGAATCTCTTGATGTAAGAAGATTTGTGATCCATCAATCTTGCTGAAGCGTTCCTTCAGATCTTTCCAAACAAGTGCTGCAGTGGAAGCAAACACTAATCCCGCAGAGAGGTAAGCACTTACAGTATTCAAAATCCACGAAAGAACGATTGCATTACATCGATCCCACTGTGATTGCATTACATCGATCCCACTGTGATTGCAAGAGTTCAACGAAATCATCCCTAGCACAATCACCGTCGATGAACCCTAACATGTTCTTTGCTAGCAACGCGATTTGAATCGAGTGGCTCCAGAGATTGTAATTCTCAATTCCCGTTAGCTGATGCGAAACCAATACAGTCCCAGGCATATCCGACGGATGAAGGTAGAGAGGATACGTGAAATCGATCGATTCCATGGAAACAGAGAGGAAAAAGGAAAGTAAATCAGTGAAGAAAGAGGCAAAAAATCAGAAAGGTCGAGCCCCCACACGAGACCTTTCCTTGATACCATGTAAAAAACACGTGTGGAAAATATACCTCTATTCTTATTATTATTCACCATTTCAATATACTATATTTATATACAATTCATTTACATCAGCTAACATACTAACTGACTTCTAACCAACTGCTAACTAATTAACAAACTTGCTAACTAACTCTTAACTTCACAACAAAACGACCTTCGACTGACGATTTCTGGTGGTTTCTTCATCATGTTCGAGTTTTTTGGATTAACCACTTTTCCAAATAACATGTAGCTAAATAGGAAAAAGGCAAAGATTCTAGCCATTCCAATTACAGAGTTTGGAAAGAAAATCTCCATTGCTGATGGTTCTAACTCTGGCCTTTGGAGCGATGATAGACGAGCTAGTGGAATAGAAATCCCCTACCCCTTTTTGGTGCCCTTATCTTGTATCTTCATCTAAAATATTGACACATATTTGTTTCAATTACTAGTTCTAAACTTTATTTGTTTAATATAAAAAAGGGTTTTTGTTTCTTCTTCTTTTGTTTACGTTTAAACTAAAATTAAAAAGTTTTGTTTTATTAATACCAGTTAATATAATATATTTATATTAATAAGAATTGATTTTTTTTATTTTTAATTTATTTTAATTGATACTAATATTAAAATTAAAATATCATATCATATATCATTACAATATAATATCATATATTATTATAATACTAAAAATAATATTATATATTAAAATTATTAATATATATATTTTAACAATTAATTTTTAATTAATTTAATAATCAAATATTATATTAATATTAAATATATAAAATAATATTATTTTGAGTATTTATACTTTAAATAAAAATTTAGAAAATAATTTACGAAAAAAGATAATATGTCATTTTCTAGAAAATGTAAAAAAATATTAACCTGAAAAATAAATTACATTGATTGATCTGTTTTTTTGCTAATCAAACACTAAAATGTAAGAATAATAATTTGGAAAACCAATTATAGTAGAACAAACAAACTACAAACCGAAATTCAAATTTATATTAAAAATATTTAAAATAAATTAAAAATTATAATATCAATTCTTATTGATATAAATATATTATATTAACTGGTATTAAAAATTATTAATAAAACAAACTTTTTAATTTTAATTTAAAGGTAAACAAAATAAGAAAAAAAACAAAAACCTTTTTATATTAGACAAACACAGTTTTGAACAATTAATTGAAACAAACACATGTCAATATTTTAGATGAAGAGGAAGGGATAGGGGCACAAAAAGGGATAGATGATTTTTATTCAAACTAGTGAATAGTTTTGTACAGTTATTTTGTGAATTAAAATATTCTTATATAATAAATAAGTACCCAAACTATACTCTTTTTCCTGAATAGGTGCCTACAATATTTTTTGGCCCATCTAAGTTTCTAACGCTACAAACGTTACCACTTTAAGTGTTCGGGAGGTCAACGATATTAATTTCCTCCGTTTAGTGACACGTGTCACAATATGATAATTTTAATTTTTTTTATAAAATTTAAAAAAAGTTTTGTATTTTTTAAAAATAAAACATATAGATTTTGAAATAACCCAAAAATTTTGAAACCTTTATTTCAACCCCTAAACCCACACCGCCCTTTGCTGTCGACGAAGCTCCACCCGATATCACCTCCCACCCGACCAAAACTCCTATGAAATCGTGACTGATCGACAGTTGATTGACGACGAATAGACGTTTTAAACCCTGCATACCATAGGATGAAAATCGTGATCCCATGCTATTCTGATAACCAATCGACGACAACTACGACGATATATAACTACAATGATGGCAGAGACTACGTCAGCGACGATGTTAATGTTAGGATTTGGGGATTTTAGGGATTTTGAGGCTTTTTTGTAATTTAAAAGAAATTTGAGTTTTTTTTATAAATATATTAATATTTTTAATATTTTTAAAATATATATAAATTTTAAAATTACCAGATGCTAACATGTGTCACTTAATGGAGAAATTAACGGTCGTTACATCCCGTACGCCTAATTTGGTCACGTTTGTAACGTTAGGCACCTGGATGGGTAAAAAATATTGTAGGTGTAACACCCCCAACCCGTATCCGACCCGGATACGAGTCTGAGGTGTCACATTGACTTTTCAAACTTTGACTCTTTATAAAAATCAAGGAAATTTTAAACTTTCATTAACATGAAATCATTACTTTAACAAAAGATTGACCAATTCATACAAGACCGATCAAAGCATTCGTAACTAACATGTTTCCTACATGCCAACACACCATACGCAACAAAATACATACTTTATCAGTTACTTCTAATCTCATCTTCTAGCAATGATGTTGTCCTTGCTACTCCTATTTTTACTCTTCTGGATTCTTGGTACCTACGTGTAAATCACTTACACGCTAAGTCACAGACTTAGTGAGGCATAATACGAATATATAGATATAACCATGAATTCATGAACATGTATTCTTATCATTTAATTATGATATTTCAACTTGCATGCATCTATTACACTATCACATATATGATGATAACATGCACATATAAAACTTATATTCTTATGCTAATTTCACTTTAATTATCTTTGGATTGCCCATGTACATTATTAAGAACAGAAGGTACGTGAGTACACTAGGGTTGTGCACAATGTTGTCACCACAACTCGAATAAAATCCCACTAGGGGCATTGAATATTTGTCCCGAAGGACTACTATATCCCGAAGGACCACTATGTCGCGAAGGACCACTATAATCCCTCGACTCTTGGCATGTCAATTATACCTATAGCTCTCACATTAAGTAGCATGTGCTTAATTATAATAAAATTCTCATTTTCATATCTCCTCTATCACTTTTCACATAAATACATAATTCACTTCATATGAGTACAAATGATCATTTTCATTATTTCCCATACCTGAATGGATTCTCATATAATTGCATTCATTCATATAAGTTCATATTAAAACATGACTGAATTATGCATAAAATCACTATAACATTAATACATATATAAGTATGCATGTGCATGAATATGAAATTATAAGTTTAACTATAAGAGATAGACTCATCGCAAGTCTTATCTTAATATAATTTTATCTAGGGTATGCACTCACCTTAGCCTTGTTTGATTTGACTCGATCCTAATCATTCGATTGTTCTGGAATAGGATTACGCTCTAAATCTACATAGTAATACATTGATACATATCAATATACTAATTGATATATTCTAAACTATCACTTCTTAGACTAAAAAAAGGCTAATTTAATCTCTTAATGAAGGTATGTATCGATGCACTCTACAGTGTATCGATGCTTCCCTTAACGTGTGCATTGATGCACTATCTATGCATCAGTACACAAATCACATTCGATGTTTTCATCTTAAGGGGCGTATCGATGCACTCATTATGCATTGATGCACTAATTGCATTTGATGTTCATTTATTTGAGAGTGCATCAGTACACATTGAAGATGTATCGATGCACACAACCCAAAAATTCCATTTTAAACACGAAATTCACTCTCTTTTCAGCTCAAATCTTCATTTTTCACCTCCTTTAATATCCCTAACTTGTATACACATACTTAAACTAATTAATACCTATTCAATACCTCTTAAACTTCAAAATCCAATCATCCACATAGAATTCAAGAATCTCACTCAAATTCCAACATGTTCTATATCTAATTCTAACACTTCATATTCCTTAATTAAGTTGGTGACAAGTCAAATTCAACTTTCAAGTCTCATTATGACCTCTATTTCAAAATTCCATTCAAGAACTCTTAATCTTTACTTCTTCCTACACCCTTCATTTTGTTGTTTTAAAACAAATTAAACTTTCCTTAAGCTTAATTAGCATCTAATGATCAAAACCAAACTTAAATTTCAACACATAATCAGCTCATGAGAAATCTCACCTTTGATATGAGTCTTCACGTGTGGAGAAAAGAATAAAATAAGAGAACTCTGGAAACCTTGTGTTTTGCTTCATCTCTTCCACGTGTAGCTAATTTATATATCCCTTCTTTAATTATTTTCCTTGCAAAATACCATTATATCATTCTATTCCTCATTCTTTTCTATTTGATCCTACAACACATTTCATATAAATCATTGAAATAATCAATTATTTTACTTTAATCACAAAATTCTGTAACTTTACGATTTAGTCACTAACCCGATATTGAGGATGTTACAAATCTCCCCCTAAAAAAATTTGTCCTCAAATTTTCATTGCGCAAAGATATGGGGGTATTTATTCCTCATATCTTCTTCACGCTCCTACGTTACTTCCTCTATCTTGTGATTCCTCCACAAGACTTTAACTAATGGAATAGTCTTGTTACTTAGTTACTTAATCTCATGAGCTAAGATTTGAACCGGTTCTTCTTCATATGTCAAATCCGGTTGAATCTCGATCTCTTCTGGAGTTAAAATATGGGAGGAATCAGATCTATACTTCCGAAACATTGAAACATGAAAGACATCATGAATGTTTTCCATTTCTGGTAGTAACGCCAGTTGATATTCCACTGGTCCAACTCTCTTTGCGATCTCATAGGGTCCAATGAACCGAGGACTTAACTTTCCTCTTTGACCAAACCTTAAAACTTTCTTCCATGGAGACACTTTTAAAAACACTTTATCTCTCATTTAAAACTCAATTTCTTTTCTTTTTAATTCTACATAAGATTTATGTCTACCAGCTGCAGCTTTGAGGTTATTCTGTATTATTTGGACCTTTTCTTCCACTTCCTGGATCAACTCAGGACCAAGAACTTCTCTATCTTTAAGCTCAAACCAATTTAGAGGTGTACGACATATTCTTCCATGAAGAGCTTCATAAGGTGTCATTTTGATACTTGATTGATAACTGTTGTTGTATGCAAACTCAGCAAGTG